TACATACTACCAAGCCTTGGCATAAACATGAATTATACTTTTGAGCAGATTAAAGTAGATCAAAGATGGACCATTAGGTTGATGACAGTAGATTAAACATGGGCAATGACCTTGAACCTGGTTTTCCTTAGGTGAAAGCCCGCCCATGGTTAAACAGTGATGCACTCACAAGCACTTCACTCACAAGCAAGCAAAGCACATTCTGAAAAATGTGTGGACAATAACACTGTGCACTTTTGGACAAAAAACTGTGGGTTGATTGGATGAGTGAATAAATGTGTGGGTGGGCTGTATGAAGAAGTGAATGTGTGGATGGTTGGTTGAACAGAGATGCATGAGAACTGCTGCTGGGATGGAAGGGCAAATGGTGGTGGAAAGGGCTGGATGGGTTACCATAAGTTCGATTGAGGGGCTCAATGAATGTTGCTCAATGATGCTATTTGGAAAACTGGTTGGACTTCAATTGAATGGGATGATTGGAATGTATGTATTGCAGTGAGTGATGTTTGGTTGGCGTTAAATATGTTGCTACCATGAAACGGGCCAGACTGAATTCAATCCGTGGTTGCTCCTAAGCTTGCCACAAGTGTGATTACCTCAGTGTGCCTTAGTGTGACCCTTAGCCCACACATATGCATTATTTCCTGCATGGCCGTGAGTTGGCTTAAGATGAATGAAGTGGACGTTTGAAGCCAAATGCATTCTGAAGCTATTTTTTGCCACAAACACTGAGGTTTGGAGAGCTCATTAATAACTAATCTTCAGCTTGCATACACAAAGAAATATGAACTGAGAGCATCAATGGGAAGCTTGGCAAATTGACAGGACAAAATGAATTGATGACTAGAAAAGTGTGAATGAAGCTCGAATCAAGGGTGCAATGAGGCAACGTGTGCCTGGTGATTGAGAAAGGAGTGTGTGGTGCTGAGGTGTGGCCAGGAAATCTTGAAGATAGAAAAAATAATAGATGGGGTAGGCTTGGAAGGAAATGGTATGAGTTGCAATGGGTTGATGGAGTGAAAATCAATACCCAAACATTAAAAAACACCATGACAGTGGTTGACACCTAGTCCGTGTTCAACTTGACAACTGGTTTTGTGGGCGATGACCTTAGCATGCCTTAGTGTGAGCCTTAGTCCAGAGTCATGCACTCTTTCCTGACTGAACTTAGCCCTTTCCAAATTTGACTCTGAGAAGTGTGAGTGGTTGCAATGCAACTGAAGAAAAGAGAGTATATATATCCAGAGCTGGCACTTTGTTTATTTTTTATAATATATTATATATTGTTGAACTGAACAGTAGTTTTTTGATGGTATGTTCAAAGAAACTCCAAAGTCCTGGATATTCCCAAAGACCTTGGCTATAGAAAATATTTATCCAGCCTGGAAGTATGAGTCCTGCATATGTGCAAGGACTGAAACTAAGTGCTCCACTGGTGTTGCCCCTCCCCCCCAAAAAAAAGAAGCACCTGTTCGGTGCTACCCACCTATTCGGTGGAAAGTTAAAAAACATTGCCTTCTTGAAGTTGAAGATGTCTAGTTCCTTAGTGGCCTTAGTACTGCTTCATTCCTGACAGGGCCTGACAGACAGGTGCATCTCAAAACTGCTTCTGTTTACTTTCCAAATCAAACATATCAATACATTTACTCAAAGAAACTCACACAAAACAAGATCATGGATGTAACATGCCAAACTACATTTAACCTAATTTACAATGTCTACATTTGTTTTGCTCACAAAGAAGTTGCTACAACCTAGATCAGACAACCTAGATCAGTAAAAATATATATGCCAAACTCTCTGACTGATGACTTGGTCCAATTTGCCTAGTGTCCCCCCCGCTGTTTTGGCTTGACACCTCAAATTTACATTGCTGCAAAGAAACACCATCATGAAGCAACTCAGGGTGTTCAGGAACTCCACCATAAGTTACAGATATGTGGTTTAAGACTCATAACAAGAAAAAATGAAACTATCACAATCAAAGACCAAACTATCACAATCAATGATCATGGGTTATATAAAATCCATTATTAAACTCGTATCAAAAATGCAAAAAAGCTCCAGATCGAAGGGTCTTCCTTTTCCCCTACAAAAACCTTCATTAGAATAGTGATTCTTCAGTAGACTAACAGCTAAAACTTTCGAAAGGTGATGTCGCTGTGCCATGCGGTGTTGCATGACCTCGGTGGCAAGTGCGTTTGCGTGAGTCCGTGCCATTGGGGGAAGGAAAGCCTGCTGGTGTAAGCGCGGCGTGTCATGGTGGATAGGCAGGGTGGACAGAGGTGGGCAGTTACGGTTGTTTTTGGAACCTAATATAAAAAAACTCCTCCAAAGTCGGCAATGTTGGTAGTTTAGTAGCGGCTTGAAAGGGCGGTAATTTAAAAACAAATATAAACCGTATTTCGGGGTTTCCGACATGACTTTTTTCTAAAAGGGGTCCGTTTTTAAATAGGTACTCGGGATTAATAACCGTTTGTTTGGTGCAGAATGACTAGACTGTGACTAGACACAGTGAATGTGAAGGACTGGCTTTCGGAAACACGGAAAGTCCCAATGTCTTGTGTGCAACGCCAAACGCGCCCACACACACACATGTCACTTGGATCATGGATCCCTCCAAGCACCTCAGAAGGTGCTTCATAGGGTTTCATGTTGGAGGCTTTGCTGTCAGATGACGGATGTTCGTTGCCTGGGCCGCCGGACTTACCGTCGCGGCCAGGCCGTTGTTCAGACTTGGCTGCGCGGACACGGAGAATGTTAGCAGGAAGCGGCCCGGGCCCAGAACGGGACTGGAAGGGAAAAACCAGAGGATCACTAAACACTGTGAGAATCGCCAATAATAATGAAGTCATGTCGAAGCCTTGGTTGCACTACAGCATTGCCATGGATTGCCAATTGCCTCAAAATGGGGCAGTGGTGAGGCAATAGCTCGTATACTCCCTATCAAAGACAGTGTGAGCTCCCCCCCCCAAAAAAAGACCCAAACCCATGGCGTCAGAGCTTTTCCCACCCCGCAGAACCACCTGCTGCGCCGGTTTAGGCCCTGCGGTGGTTCCCAACGGATCGGCTCCCAGTGGAGCGGACATGGCCTCCGGCCCCAGCGAGCGGGGCGAGCGGGCACCGGCCCCACGGCCGCAAGCGGCGCGTCTACGAGCGAGCCCGTGGGGCGCCGCCAGTTGCGGGAACCGGGAGGGAGGGAGGGAGGGATCAACGGGAGAAGGGTCCCATGGGATGGTCTTTTGTCATAAGTAGTTACGTTGACATTATATCTCATTACTGATCATGCTACAGTATAAAGATGTATAAAGTAGTTTCGATACATATGGACGATGCAAACATTGCCACCGCATGCGATGACCGTTGTTCGCAAGACTTGTGGTCAATCACGTCTTTGGAGGAGATCCTTGATCTGGAACGGACATTTGGCCTTGAGTCCTCCCCCTCACTCAGCCAAACTGGAAAAACATCCGTTCATTTTGAGGTCTGAACACCTTTTGAGATCCCAGTGGTGGCCCGGTTGAGACCATTTGCTTTGGCTTTGCTTATTGGGATGATCAACTCCTGTAATTACCACTGGGAAGATCTAGGAAGGATGGAATGATGTTCTTTCCACATTGAGAACTGAATGTACTAATCCTTATGGGGTTAAGGGGATAGAGACAATTCTTGGACACCAAACATATCGTGTTGATTCTTTTTTAAAGGATACCCCACATAATGCAGGTTTTTTTCCGTCAAGAGTACATGTCTCTAGATTGACTCCAGACCAGCTCCCACCAACTCAACAAGAGTACTTCAACTTAGTAAGATCATATAGGGTCATGTGATAACTTCTATCTCACCGAAGCTCACCTTTTCCGATGCTAGACAAGAGCTCCCGGTCATGCTGCAGGATCATGAAATGGGCCGAAACCGCTCGACAAAGTCATGGGATCTGCTGCGACACCTGCTTTTCCACACCTCGCCCACATCATGGGTCGATGATGGTCGATGGTCATGTTCCCAAAGATCATGTCCTTCATCAAGTTATGTCAAGTTATGTCAAGTTCCTGTTTATACCGTTGGAAGTTCCTTTGGATTCTTTGCGCTTCATCTACCATCCAAAAGACCCCCACTGTCCGCTACCCGGATGAGAGCGGTGAACCTTGACATCTCTTGGCGTCGACGCTTCGATTCGCAGGGGTCCCGGAGCCGTGCGACCCCATGGTGTTTCGACCCATGGGGTCAACGAAGCATCGTGGGAGTGTCAGACACTCCGAACACGACCTTTGTCAACTGAGAAGTGGATGAAACTGGGCTCTTGGAAGAACATATTCATATGCATATATATATATATTTATGCATTATCATTATCTCTACAGGGACAAAGCAGGAAAAAGGGATCGTATCGTTTCACAAGCCCTTCTGAACACATCAGACCGGGAAGTGGGAAAAAGAAACACCTGTAGTCATACGGACCATGCTCAAAAAGGCAAATTTTCCACATCCCATGTGATGCGTGCGTACTGGACCTGTATATACTGGACCCCTCATATACTAAGGATGCCTGGCAAAAAATCTGGCAAAACATACATCTGATTCCTGGGAGTTGTATGGATTTATGTAAACCTGGTTTTGCTTGCTCGATGGTTGTATTCTCTGGTTATATATAAATCACTTTCCTGGGATTTTCTATTTCCCTAGTTCCTTGAGAAGATCAAAGTAAACGACCCATTTTGTTGTGAGAACGGTCGCTCAGGTGGCCCATGACTGGATGAGAGGCGGCAGAGGCCCGTGGCCCGAATTCCCCGCCCGATGCGAACACGGCGGGTTCCACGCGCGGACTGGTCCGCGCGGAGCCATGGGGGAGGTAGAAGCGAGAAAGAGCGCAAGAGATACAAAAGAACGACAGATATAGATGTGTCAATGCTATACTCACACTATGAAACCATGTGAAACCAATGTGAAAGCATGTGAAACCAATGAATCATTAAGCACATAAGGATCGCCAACGTTCAGCTCCTGTAAAGGGAAAGGATCGCCAAGATGGGTCACTAGTTTGAACTGAGGGATGTTCAGACGCTTTGTGCAGTGAATGGACACCATTGGTTGACAATAATAATAGACACAACGAAAGCGTGTCCGCTTTCAACAGCCTATACACATACAGTATATGAAAACATATTGAAGATATAATTGATCATGATATGAAGAATGAATGATGCAATATATATTACCCTGGTAGTTCCCATAGTTTGGTTTTGATCCAGTCCACTGGTGTTGAACATCAGGGTCCACTCGCATCCACTCGCCCTCCGACTCCAGTTCTCCAGCATTTGCAGGACACGTCTCCGCGGCGGACATGGCCTCTGGCCCCCGAATGCAGCAGGAGGCTCGTCTCGCACCGGAGGTCCACTCTGACTGGTCTCTTAAAGGTGAGTCAAGAGAGTCTTTTGCTTTCTCAGAAGTGTTATTTTGAACACCCCATTGTAACACCCATCTATAGGAATCAATTGTATATAATGAAGAATTGGAATTGGATCACGCCTCAAAACCATTCCAGAGAGATCTCACCCACACAGGTGTTCGGGGGTATCTGCTCTTTGAGCCAGGCAGATCGGCCGAGTGTCCTGGGTGTGCCTTGGTTGTGAGGCGGAGAAGGAAGCTGGGTTCATACCTGGAACACCAGACATTCCATGCTTTCCGAGTTAGGAATTGGGACTTTCAGAGTCAGTGCGAGGCGTTTCTTTTGTTTTTGCGGGTCAGGATTTGACTCATGGTCCCAGTGCCTGTACCGCATGATCAAATTGTAGTGTTATGAACCCCCGAAGCCAACAACAAAGCCTGTGTCAATTGGAAAGAACCCATCAAAATCATAAATAATTAGTCTATTTGTCTAGAAAAGGATAACAACGGGTGCAGCAAAAAGTGCATAGCTCATGTACAGATAATGAAGTGCAACTTGCAACCAAGCAAATCTGGCTAACTGCATTTGAAAACAAGTACCAATTTTGCTCTCCAGGTTGCTATATAATAAGACTCTTCCTGCTATAATCTTTGTTTAAGGATCATTGTACTTGAGCTTGGGGATGGAACCTCAGCCAGGAAACAGATTTGGATTTCTATAGGACATTTGTGGGAGCCGGCTTACAAACGAACTCTGCCTCTTTCAGGCAAGTTAGGCCTTTCGCACTCACACCCTTCCGCAGTCACCCCCATTTGGAAGACTGGCTGACTGAGGTGGCCCACGGCGAGCACTCTTGGATGACCGGAGGAGATGCGGGAGATGACCGGGAGATGGGGTTATCAAGAACATCCTTGGGGGTGAACGACGAAGTCGGTTGGGCGGAATGCATCAGCAGGGACCGGGCCGGTACCGGGCTCACCAACAAGCACAGCGGTCTGGTTCCCAGTTGGCTTGGAGGTTGGCCGGTTCGACGGCTTCACGGCGAGCCCGGAGCCTGGGAGCGGCTTGGGTGGGAGCCAACGGGTGCTGAAAGAGGACCAATCTAACACATCACCGAGAATTCCCAGAATCGCTGATGGCTGATCATCGCTACCTAGGGTTTTAGGTGGTTAACGCATTAGCATTCAGACAGACCCGCAGATTGTAAATTTTGCTACTGTAGAGTTTGGTGTTGGCATCATTTCTGCTCCATGCTCTCCCCTTCTTCCGCCGCACGAGTGGAGTACTGCAGGACAAGTCTCAGCGGCAGATATGGCCTCTGGGCCAGGGGTGCAGGAGGCGGGCACTGTGCATGTGTTCCATTTGCAGTGGTTGGCACAAACCCTAAGATGTCTCGTAGAGAGGGGTCCATATAAACCACCTGTGAGGGGATACATCTACCTTCAATCCACTACGGCTGATGACTCTATTAAGAAAGACGCTTTTTTTAGAGTAGACTCTTGATTATTTCTTAACTATAGCCTTTCAATTAAGAAATGTGGCTAGCTAGACTCTAAATAAGGTTTCTTATTCTATTTTCTCCCTGTCAAACCTTTTTAGACCATGAAATCGCTCTCCCTCGAGCTCTAAATCGCTCAACCGCATCGCTATGCGCATGGTCTTTGACTTCTTCGACCCGTATCCCCGGATGTTGTATAAGGTTCTATCATGGTATAATGCTCAAGAATCTGAGATTAGGGGAGGGAGGGAGGCTCAAAGTTGAAGGCTCCGATGGGACGTCTAAAGGGTTTCAGACCAGTTTCAGAGGACAGGTGGGGACAGTCTTTTTGAAACAGATTTGAACAAACTGAAGCTTTTGCTCTACGTATATCATGGAAAGGGGTCATAGATGATGTCAAGATTGTCATTTTACACCTGCACCCTGGAAATCCAAGGGTCATTGTCTAAAAGCGCATGTTTGATCGCAAGATTAAAGTAAGTTCTGAACCTTTTTGGAAGCAGTGGAACCACGGATGTTGTATAATGTTCTATCATGGTACAATGCCCAAGAACCTGAGATGAGGGGAGGGAGGGAGGGAAGGAGGGAGGGAGGCTCAAAGTTGAAGGCTGCGATGGGACTTCTAAAGGGTTTCAGACCAGTTTCAGACCACCCGAGAGGACAGGTTGGGGACAGTTTTTTTGAAACAGATTTAAGCAAACTGAAGCTTTTGCTCTACGTACGTATCATGGAAAGGGGTCATAGATGATGTCAAGTTTGTCTTAATTAAGGGGTCGCGCTCTTTCTCTTTCTCTCTCTCTCTTTCTTTCTCTTTGTGGCAGGGCCCTTCAATTTAGAACTTAATACGTATTTAAAAGAAAACGTTTTTCTTGACAACAATAGAGTCTAGAAAACTAACTTATTTTTCCGAAAAAATAGAGTCTACTTTCTTGTTTAAGAATATTTCTTAACACAAATAGAAGCCGTACATATAATTACCGGGAGCCTTTCAGAGTAGCAGTCCAAACTTCCCAAGTAACAATTTTAAGAGCCCATTAGAACAATTTCTCCATAGGTTTTGAGCCATAGCCAAATGATGCCAAATGTATAGTAGCTAAGCCTAGTAGCGTCCTTGTTCCGTTCGTAGCCATGCCAGGAGCCCTGTTCGTAGCGTCGCTCCTCCGTCCAGGTGACTGTGATGGACGCCAATCCCTTCGCGCCCGCCGCGGATGCTCGGAGCAACGTCTTGGCGGCGATAGCACTCCTTGGGATAGTTCACAAATGGGCCATAGCTCTGTGCATCTCTGTGCTAGGATGGCCTCTAAGAGCGATGGCCTCCAACCTAAGAGCGATTATTTGGTCCGTCCCCTTGCCCTTCCAGCCCGGCCCCACGAGTGGGGCAGGTGGTCAGTTAGGGTGTTTTTCTTTGTTTGTTCAATCTCTTTTTTTTGTATAAATACTCAACGTGAATGAGAAAAGACGCGTGCAACTGTGCAACCACAGGGTGACACAACCGTTTTAAGGCACGGAAGGAACTCTACGTGTTAAGTTGCTTGAGTTTAGTGTTTTTGCTCGCAAGAAGTGTTTTGCACCAATGTTATTTGGAAAAAATGAAAGAAGTGTTTTGGTGTTTCCATGGCCAAGTCTTAAAACACTTGCGCAACCAATAAGCATTCGACCCTTCTTCTCACCCTCAATACCCTGAAACACTACAGCCATCAGTCACAAATTCCCAAAGTGCAAGCACCAAATGCCGTTTTTTAACAAAAAATGCAAGCAGTCTCACTGATCCAAAGATCAGCTCTTCTTGAACAGCTTTCGCAGGTCTTCAAACAAACTTCCTACAAAGTGTTTACAAAGTTTTGGATCTTTACAAAAAATTTACAAAGTTTTGGAATTACAATTTTTTTACCGAGTTTTTGCATTACAAAGTTTTAACAAAGTCTACAAAGTTTAAAGATAGAAATAACAAACTTCACAAAGTTTTGGAAACTTACAGTACATTGAATTTTACAAAACTTTGGAACTACGAAGTTTTTACAAAGTATTGAACCTTTAGATATCTGAACAAAGCTTTGGACATTTATCAAGCTTTGAACAAGTTTTGGAATTTTACAAAGTTGCTACCAAGTTATTGAGTTTGAAAGTTTTTACAAAGCTTTTACAAAAGTGTTTGATGCTTACAAACTTTCTACAAAGTTTCGTTTTTTTCAATCTGTTTCAAAACTTTGTAAACTTTATTATTTGAAAACTTTGCAAAACGTTGTAAACTTTGTAAGAACTTTGTGAACTTTGTAAATACTTTGTAAACTTTGTAAAAGCTGTGTAAGCTTTGTAGAAACTTTGGTGAAATTCTAAAACTTTGTAAACTTTCAAAACTCTGCAACAACTGTGTAAAGATTGAACAAATTTTGCAAACTTTGTCAAAACTTCGTAAACTGTTGTTAAGATTGTAAACTTTTTAAACACTGAAACACTTTAAACTTCGTAAACCTTTGTAAAAAAATTGTACACTTTGTAAAACTGTGTAAAAAACTGCGAAAACTTGTAAACTTTGTCAAAACTTTGTGAACTTTGTCAAAAAGTTTGCAAACATTGCAAACTTTGTACACTTTCTACTAACATTTTGTAAACTTTGTAAACAACTTTTAGATGTTGTAGGCCTTCGTAAACTCTTTTTAAAAAAAGACCGTTATAAACTTCGTAGCACTTTGCAAACTTTGTAAAACGTTTTTAAACTTCGTAAACTTTGTCAAAGCATTGTAAACATTTTGAAAGACCTTGTGAACGTTGTAAAAAATTTGTAAACTTTGAACACTTTGTAAATTTCGTCAAAACTTTGTACAAATTGTGAAGCTGTACAAACTTTGTAAAAACTTTGTAAAATGTAGAAAGAAACTTTGTAAACTTTGCAAATAAATAAACTATCAAAACTTTGTAATCGTTGTCAAAACTTTGTAAACTTTGTCGAAACTCTGTAAACTTTGCAAAACTTCGTAAACTTGGCAAAATCTTTGTGAACTTTCCAAAATCTTCAAAACTTTGTAAACTTTGTAAAAACTTTGTAAATTTGTGTAACGAAAGGCAAATGTCGCAAACTTTGTCAGAACGTTGTAAACTTTGTAAAAACTTTGTAAACTTTGTAAAAACTGTGTAACTATGTAAACGTTGTAAAAACTTTGTAAAACTTTGTAAAGTTCTGTGAAAGAAGTGTTTTTGCACAATTTTTTGCTTGAAAAGAAGTGTTTTTCATGTCATTTGTTGTAAACATAAGTGTTTTTCACCAGCCATTTGCAAACTTTGTAAAAACTTTGTAAAAACCTTGTAAACTGTGTAAAAACTTTGTAAACTTTGTAAAAACTTTGTAAACTTTGTAAAAACCTTGTAAACTTTGTAAAAACTTTGTAAAAACCTTGTAAACTGTGTAAAAACTTTGTAAACTTTGTAAAAACCTTGTAAACTGTAAAAACTTTGTAAACTTTGTAAAAACTTTGTAAACTTTGTAAAAACTTTGTAAACTTGAAAAAGCTGTTGTAAACTTTGTAAAAACGTTGCACAACTTTGTAAACTTTGTAAAAACTTTGAAAACTTTGTAAAGACTTTGTGAGACTTTGTAGACTCTGTAAAAATTGAAAAACTGTGTAAATTCCGAACTTTGCAAGAACTTTGTCAAATTCCAAAGCTTTCTAAAATCGTTGTAAACTTTCAGTACTGTAAACTGTATAAACTTTGCAAATTTTGTGAAAGCTTTGTAAACTATGCAAATACTGTGTAAAGTTTGCAAATGTTTGTACACTTTGAAAAAACTCCATGTAAAATTGTAAAATTTGCAATCTTTGTAAAGATTTTATAAACTTTGTACAAGCTTTGTAAACTTTCAAAACTTTGCAAAACTGTGTAAACTTTGTAAAAACTTTGTCAACATTGCAGCAACATTGTAAAACTTTCAATACGTCTTTAATTGATTTTTTAATGGTGAAACCTTTGTAAACTGGGTAAACTTTGGAAATTGTTCAAAACTTTGTAAACTGTGTCAAAATATTGTAAACTTTGTAAAAATTTGTAAACTTGGTAAACGGTTGTAAAACTTTGCAAACTTCATAAAATCTGTGTAAAACTTTGTAAACTTTGTACCAACTTTGAAAGCTTTGTAAAAACGTAGTGAACTTGGTATAAACTTGGTAAACTTTGTCAACACTTTGTAGACTTTGTAAAACATTTTTAAACTTTGTCAAACTTTGTAAGCTTTGTCAACCTTTAAACTTGTAAAACTGTGTAAGAACTTGGCAAAACTTTATTAAGATGTTGTAAAATTCGCAAACTTTGTAAAAAGGTTTACAAACCTTTTACGAAGTTTTGGAGTTCTTCAAATTATTCTTCAAAGTTAGAGCAACGTTTTACACAGTTTTCAGAACGTTTACAAAGTCTTGAATTTTTACAAAGTTATACAAAGTTTACAAAACTTTCACAAAGTCTTAAAAATTTGTACAAAGTTTGCAACTTTTGCAAAGAGTTGACAGAGTTGTTGAATTACAAACAAACTTACAAAGGTTTACAACGTCTACAAAGCTTTTACCATGGCCGTTCACTCACCACTCACGAGACAAACAAACCTATGAAATAGTCCTTTGGGTCTCGTATGTTGCCACTAACTACGCAAAAAAAAACAAGACGTGTTTTATACCCTCTCTTAGTTCTGAACAACCAATTCTTCAGAGGTCCGCAAGGGTCAAAAACACTTCTTCTGCGCTAATTCCCCCGAAACAACGAACGACGGTCCCCAAGCAACTTAACAACTCTACGAGTGGATGACTAAATTCAACTACGCTCACTCAGGAATCGGACGGCAGTGCAAAAAGAGTCTACCATTAATACATGTTTGGTATGTTTTGGGTTGGTTTTACTCTTTTTTATATTTTATTGATTGTTCTATATGTATATATATAATGTGCAGGAGGGATATTTACCACTTGTCATCCACCCAAGGCTAATGTGTGGAGGAGACAGAATGTGGATTTTGCCGCAATGGGATGTTGTTTGGTGTTGAAGACGTACTTGTCCCACATTGTGTTTTCTTGAGGGAATGTAAATGCCTCTTCAACATGTCATTATAAAAGAGATATCCAAATGGCAACTTGCATAATTGATTGTTACTCTTTACTGGCCTGACTATTCCTTTTTGTCCAGGTGAATGTGAACGTTTCAGATGATAAATGGCACTGCGTAGATAGACACATCAAATAAACCACTGGACATATTGTTGTTTGAATTAACAGAACGTGCATGAGCAAGGCTTGTCAATCGTTTCGGAGGCAGATCATTCGCACCTAGCAAGGGAAGGACCAAGAAGATGTTCACACATGTTGTTTACAGCAAGACAATAGCCCAACTTTTGCAACATCGCATTCACAGACAAGGTAGCGGCTGGCCTGAGGAAACTTGCAAAGTGCCGGCCACAGTTCCGGATAGTTAGGTTGCAAAACTTTGAGTATCTGAAGTAGCACCAATCGAGGGGTTCCAAGTGCGGAAGTTGCTTCTAAGGAAAGAGACCCTGCACAACAGATCGTTCACCAGCCCGAAGTGGTGCGGGAGGCGTGCGGAAGTTCTTCGGCCGTTGCCTCATGGGGCCCTTCCTGCTTGTTGAATGGACCTCCAAACATGATCAAGAACAAGGGGACAGGACTTTATTTTTGAACGGTTGGTTTTGGTCGTGGTTTTGGTGAAAAAACCATGAATGTTCTGCAAGAAAACATCAAATGAACACCCTGCCAGCTTTGTCGCTTCGTCCAGGTGAACGTGAGCGTTTCAAGTGATGCAAATCCCTTTGCGTCCGCACCAGTTGCTTGGATGTGTTGGCTGAACATCTCGTGCAAACCAACTGTCAAAGTTATTGTGTGGCTAGTGTTTGATGTGTGCGTAAAGCAAGGGACAAATGCAGGACGAAGGCGATGGGACAACGCAATTGCTCCCAAAATAGAATCCTTGCAATCCCTCCATGTGCACATATTCTGAATTTGTTTGATTTCATTTATATATACAGTATATATATATATCACATCATATGTATAGATTGCGGATGCTTTACATTGTTTTGTTCATTTTTCTTTCCGCTTCATGGTCTTTGCATTCCAGATTCCACTGTGCCGCTAGTTTGCTGTATGTACTGCAGCAATAGCAGCGCACGGCCCTTCATAGGTACCTGTCATTCACCCATGGTTGCAAAACTTTAAGTTCAAGGATGCTTTGCTGTGCCCGACTGCTTTTACAGTATGCGTATTTGGTACTTACAAACACCCCATGTCAGTTTCATTTTAATAATGGATGTTGTGCAAAAAGGGTGCCAACGCTTTGAAGAGTTTTAGGGTCTTTTGAATGCTTTTACTCTAGTGTTCTTGTTTAGCTTGGAGTACCCGTGTGTCAGGTGCAGCTGAAGAATGGTAAATGTCCCCACAAGAAGCCAGGAAAGGAGAAATCTGAATCCCAATATGTATGATTGGCATCGGCCTTTCTTCGCTCAGGTGAACATAAAAGCTTCGGATGATGCAAATCCATTTGCGTCCGCGCCAGTTGCTTGGATGACAACCCAAACAGCACTGTGTGGCTCTTTTGTGGGGGAGAACCAGCATTGCCCCTGAATCCGTGTGAGATGAGTTGCTGATTGGGTTGTTTGCATATATACATATATGATGTGCTATTTCCTTTGTAACTATCAACATTATTGCTTCCGTCCAGCTGACAACACTACTAGTCAACAGTACTACACTTAGCAGACAACCAGTTGTTTTTTTTTGAAAGTTCCATGAATCCACAATGACTACTACACACGAATGCATATAATGACTGATGGTTCAACGTGATGTAGTTATGATCTAGTTGAAGCGTGGCACTCTTTGGCACTGGCTGCATGCACTTTATGCACTTTTAGGCGGGCAAATGCTAAGCAGTGCAGCCTTTGTTTCTTTGTGAAACTGCTTTTGAGCCCATTTGTTCAGGAAACAGTGAATGCTTCAGATGCTGCAAATCCCTTTGCTTCCGCACCGGTTGCTTGGATGTGTAACAGCACTGTATTGAAACAAAACAGGCAACTTTCAAGGGGTTCATGTCCATGGAAGGCAACGTATGTCAATGATGTCAGTCATGATATTGTTTACTTATTGCGGTTGTGTGTACTCTGTGTTCACTGGCAGCAGTTGCTTTTTGTCGCGCAGCAAGTATGACATAGCACCTTTGCGAAAGAAAGATGAACAGCCGAACAACCCCAAAACTGGGGTCACTCAGAAATTACTTCTTATAGTCTCATAGCCACCAATGGGATACAGACTTAAACATACATTTATACAGTTTATTTGTTTCATGATGTTTACTATTTGCTGGAAGCTCAAGAAACTTGTTCAGCCAAGCGCTTCAGTTCAACTGGCTGCAAAACTCGTGCAATCGGGGGACGGGCCTATGGATCGCTTTACGGACTAGTGACTAGTTTGAGAGCGGGCAGTTGTGGCAGTGCGCTTTTTGGTGTCTAATGAGTGTGGCCCAACTATCAGCTCTAATGGCAGCAGGAAAGACCTGGAGTTGCTCACAACTACTAGGTATGATTTTGTGTGGACTACGCTATGTCCATTGTGTTTTGAACCCCAAACAACGCAAAGCACCTCTGCACCATTCTGCACCCCTGTGTGCCTTCACAGAGTATGCAACAAAACAGTCTGACTGCTCAGTCGCTGCAGCCAACTCCTGCGGTGTTGCATGTGCTCGAGCAGTCGAAGCTGAGTGACTAGTGGGAGAATGACATGCTGAATGACTAGTGACTAGTGCCCCGCAAGACTTCACAGTCATTCAGCATGTCATTCTACCAACATCGAGTCATGTGCCCCGCGGCGCTCCCCCAACACTTCGCAGCAGCAACTCACAGACATATATTGTGAGGAGAAGGAATGTCCTGATTTGAAGCTTGCTGTCCAGGTTGATGCTTCAGATGCCGCAATCCCTTTTTGGTGCGCGCCGGTTGCTTGGAAGGCACCAGTACCAGTGGAGATGAACATCTTAATCCGAGAGCAGTTCGCCGACAGGGGGCTGTGCGGATATTTTTGGTAGACAAAGCAACCAGAGGAAGAACTACTTGGTAAGCGTCAAAAACATTTTTCATTGGAGAGAGCGTGTTTTCAAAAGTTATTTTAAACAAGCATGTCAAAAAAAGTCAACGTAGTAGTCAGTCTCAAAAGTCAAGGTCAACAAACAGTCAAATCAGAAAGTTTCAGACAGTCAAAAAAGTCAATTGGCCCAGATCCGACTTTTTTGACCGTTTTGTCCGACTTTTTTGTTTATACGGTTTCCGACCTTTTTTTTTTTTTTTACTTTTTCGAGTTGTTTCCCTTTGTTTCTTAATGTTGACTTTTATTTGCCTTTGTTATGTTTTTATATTTATATATGTATACTGTATTTTTTGAGTTCTTTTTTGACATGTATCCGGGCTTTTTTGTGACTCTGACTTTTTCATTTGACTTCTTCTTGACATGTTTTCGACTTTTTTAAATCAATGATTCTGGTGTTACCATATTATGATCTTCATCGTTTAATCCAAAGCAAATGCATCAGATCCGCAGAATGGTGGGGGCGTTTTGTGTTTGTACTATAGCTGCATTACATCGAGTCTTTTTTAAATAGTAATTTGTTGATTCATTGAGCCATGGGTGAAAGCAACATCTGCAAAACATTGAGGGAATTGGGTTTCTGATTCCACCCTAAGACTCAGACAGTTAGTTGGAGCCAGGAAACACAACGAAGACAGTAAAATCCCGTAAAGGTTCATTTCAGAAGCAAGGCAAATGGGTACAAGAAAGAGAAGGGAATGGTGGGAATTGGCATGGAATTGGAATGGTCCTTGACATGCTCATTTGCTTTTGAGCGTTTGACAAAAAATGTACCTAGAATATGTTCTTGCATTCAAGATTCTAGATTTTCGGAAACAAACACTGTTCTTGGGGATGATTCCAAGGAAAATGACAAGAACATAGATTAAATGACGGAAACAAAGTACCTGGAGTACCATTGAGTCGAACGTCGAGGGTATCAATGTAGTTGTCCGTGTTGCAGGAGCTGGGGCTTTAACAGCTGCTACTTAGGACCTTTTCACGACACATGCTGTTTAACATATACGTTTATTGCACTGTTGAATTGTTATATATACATATTTATATATATTTAGGCCCAATTCATCCTAAGTACCGCTGAGCCGAAGACGCATAATGTTAATGTAGTTGTCGGTGGTGCACCAGCTGGTGGTTTGGCGTAATTGAATGTGTTACTATAAAAACAAAGTATGAAATTGAACAATAATATATATATATATACATATGTATTAGTATTAAAATTGAATTTAAACCTTTTTTATTGCAAAGGTATTGTTTGCAAAGATGGTACTGATGGAGTTAATACCTGGAAAATACATGTGCTTATCATACATTAGTTTCTGGACAAGCTATGATATGGTTGGTGATGTCTTCTTTCGGTGGTTTGTAGGGGCAGTAGTTCTACCTCATGTGGTAAAGTCGCTAGTCCAAGAATCTTTGCTAAAGCTAGCCACGTACCTGAAATAACTGAAATCTTTATTGAGGTTGCATATTATAAAGTGAGCAAGCCTGTAGATTTGTATCAAAGAAGATCAGACTAATTGTCTCACAGGAACAATCATGTTTCCTGCACGCTCAGACGTTTGCAGACGATGCGTTTGGGCAAAACTGAACATAGAATCCAAAAAATATGAAAAAACATGTTGCAAGAGCTACTATGCAAGTTACCAAATTCATACATACTCAGCTCAGTCCTTTTCATCCCAGACTTTCCACAACAATATAAAGAGCTGACAGGAGTTAGGGTGACTTGCAAGCATGTCGGTCTTATTTTGCATGTGAAGTGCACTAGTTGAATGTAACTTATACATCATATCCCTTGCAACTCAAGGATTGTTGCATATATATATATGTAACTGTAAATGGGTGTATTAACTTGTTTAAGAGAGTCACACATTGTGTTTAGCAGTATAGCCTCGTATATCGTATACCTGTCAAAAATTTGGTTGTATTTCTCAGTATTTGGAGACAGGAACAGACAGTGCGAGTAAGTTTAATGGAAAACTGTTCTTAGCATTGCAGAACCATTTGAATTGCTTGATATGTTGACAGATACAGATGCGTTTGGAAGAGGTGTTAAAGCTCGCTTATTACAATCAACTACTGTATATCCTGCTCAGAATGGTCAAATTGATTTTTTTTTGACACCATCACCAGAGTTCAGATTCAATTGCACAGTATGATGCAGCATCAAATTATTAGTAGGTGAACACGATACTAAAGAACTATGGAACATATAGCAAAACCTGTACCACTATGTCACTATCTCTGGTTTATCCGCAGAGCGACAAGAATTCTGCTACTGATGTAGAAGGTAATTTGCTAAAGACGACGGAATGACGACAGATCCTTCCATTCTAAAAATTTGTTTTGGAGTTTTGTACTTTTCATGCACACGGACCATGCATAGGACTTGGGGAAAGTAAATGCCCTCTAAACAAGTCATAGATGCAAGATTGCAATGGCAAATTTAATGATGGACAGCTTTTCTTGCCCGGAAAACCACATTTGACATCATTTGACCGTCCTCTTCTCATCCAGGTAAACGTGCAAGCATCCGATGACGCAAATCCATTTGCTTCGGCACCAGTTGCTTGGATGACATGCTGGAACTGCGTCAACCCATGCACAACACTCTCATGCAAACCACTGTCAGAATGGGTGTTTGTAGGAATAGGGAGACTCCCCAACCAATGGGTTTTATATAGTCTTGGTGTGCTCGTTGTTGTTTTTCTCTTTTTGTTAATGGGTGGGGCCGGGGCGGGGTTAACCTAAAGCAATGCATGTTTTGTTTGCATTTCTCTTTAATGTGATTTGTAAACACACACACACACATGATCGCACATGTCTTTTCGGAGGAACCGACAGTGAATGCGGAGAACGACGCCGCAAAGGAGCCCTCGGGATCGGCGCCAGTTGCTTGGCATTGCAGGGCGCTTGGTGGGCCTTGAGAGGGGGTCCCCTTAAGCCACGGCCCATGAAAGACTTATCATACACACAAGGGCCCACCACTTGCATCTGTTTTCGCCCCTGGCGGCGAACACATCGCGTTTAAACCGACCCTCTCGGCAAAGCACGAGAAGATGGGTCCTGTGGGTCCTGGGTGCGAAGTCTTGGCCCTTTGCCCGTTGGACCATTGCGCACAGATGAAAGCCACAAACATGTGGGTGTGGGAAGTGACTGGACCTACTTGTTCACTGGACCTACTTGGGATGCAAAGGTGTCTCACGAACCATCTGTGTGCAATGATTTCGGCCAGTTTTTGCTGCAGTGATGTGTTGAAAGATAAACATTAATTTAGCATCCCAATCCGTTTGATTATTCGTTTCTGCATGCGGGATTTGCCCAGGTGAATGTAGATGATCCGAATGGTGCAAATGACACTGAGTCCCCACCAGTTGCTTGGATCATCAGTGGGGGGTGAAGAGTGGCTCAACTCGTGCACCACAACCGCATCTGCACACGGTCGAATCGGCATGTGTTCATGCCATTTGTTTGATGCGGTCGGACCTGCAAGGAGTTGTGAGGAGGACAGTCACAGCACCAGGACAGTCCTGTTGCAACTCTCCAACTCTCCGCGTACTCCGCACGGAGACGAAGCTGCTCGGTCCACCTCGTTCGCGTCCCTCCGCCGGAAGCGAAACGAACGGTCCGGGACCCGTGCGCCGAAGCGAACTGGGACGGACGAACGGTCGATTCGGGTCCTGGCGCAGTCGATGAGACTGTCGATCCCGTCCGGTCCCAAGCGACCGGTCGTTTAGGGACCCGGTTTTTCCGGGTGGGGGTTTTGGTTGCTGTCGGGTTTTTTCCGCTTGGTTTTGAAGACCTATATACACGGCTTTTGAGGAAAGCAAAAGCCCTTTCAACATGGCAACTTGCATGACTGACTGCTGCTTTTGACTGGCCAGACTATTTTTGTGTCCAGGTGAACGTGGAAGCAACATGGTGCATGCCGGGCTTATCGGGGTGTCAATTGTTGAGATAAATCACCTGCACCGTTCGCAACTCAGGGAAGGACCAAGAAAATGGCCACACAACGTTCAGCGGCTGACCATGGGCATTTCATTTCATTTTTCTTTGTTCCTTCTAGCGGAAACGACCTGAGAACACGTATGTGACAGTATGTGCTATATCTTGTTATCACCGCCAATGGCCACAGAGAGTCCACAACCTACAAAATCCTACAAACCTGTGCATAGCTGTATATCTCTGAAATTGCACCAATCAAGTGGTTCCAGGTCCGGACGTTTCCACGAAAGCAAGGGCAGTCGAGATTCACAAACCCTTCATTTGCCAAGAGCAGTTCGGACCGTGGTGTCCGTCTCTGGTGCTGTGGGAGGTGTTTTTCTTCGGACGCGGTCACAGAGCATCAGGATGGATCCGCGTCTCGTTTCGGTTGGTTTGGGGTTTCGTTCACGTGGTTCCAGAACCTTTCTCAGAACATCGATCAACATGGGACCAACTTGTATAACTGGAGCAGTTGGAAAAGGGGGCAAGTGAAGGAATTAGATGATGTTCCTGCAAGTGAAGACCCTTACTGCCACTTAGGTGAATGTGAACGCTTCAAGTGACGCAAATCCCTTTGCGCCTGCACCTGTTGCTTGGATTGTATATATGTATAATGTCCGTCACGGTTGGCTGAACATCTCGTGCAAACCAACTATCAAAGTTATTGTGTGGTTAATTTTTTTTATATTCACGCAACTGCACCCAAAAGAGCACCCATGCAATCCCAGCATGTGCAGTCCCGGCCTGCACAGATTCTGAGTTTGTTTTACTTTTTTTTACACTCTATATGTCTTACACTTACAAGCAGCACGTTTGTGGATGCTTGACTTACTGTATTTCATTATTCTTTTTCTTCCTGGTCTTGTATTGCAGATATCACAGAGCTGCTAGTTTTAATGTTAATGTACCATTCACAGGTACTTGTCATTCATTGTTGCCAAACTTTGAGTTCAACTATGCTTTTCCTGGCGGTTCTTGTGAGTATTTGCGAGTGACAAGTAAGTGACAATTACGCTGCGCACTAGGACTGTTTCATTTACATGGTAGACGAGTTATACATAGGCATATATAATTATATATATGGGTGTGTATTAAACCAGGGAGGCCTCCTAAAGACCCTGGAAGAAGGAAAATAGACCAACACCCATTGGTTCGGTGTCTACCTATTAGAATACACACCCATATGTATGATTGTTGTTGTTCTTTCTTCTGCAAGCTTGCTGGCTATCCTGATTGGTTCGCTCAGGTGAACATAAAAGCTTCTGATGATGCAAATCCATTTGCGTCCGCTCCAGTTGCTTGGATGACAAATGTGTGTGTGTGTGTGTAACCCTTGGAAGCATAGGGATCCTTTTGGATTTGCTCGGCTTGCTTTCTTACTTTCTAACTGTTGTTCCAGCAGGGGGGCTGGTTGTTCATGCAAGTACCAGCCCAACGAAGAGGCTTGCATTGAACACTGATATCGGTGGGGACGCTCACCGACGTACCTGCATTTTTCCTTTTTCCGAATGGCATGAGGCTAAGCCTAGAACCTCACTTGCTGCAGACATGAGCGATCGTCGTCATTTCGACCTGTTCGTCGCCTTCGACCTTGCGCTTTTGGCCTCACTTCCTCTTCCAGACCCCCAGGCTCCGATGGTCCTTACTGGTACTCTGAGGAAATGGAACCCTAGGCCGGCGTGTGGCACCGCTGTCAAGTCAGTACGCATATCCATGAGTGTGTTTGGCTTCGTGCCAACCCGGGATGAGCCCGCAGAGTGCCTCCCGTGGACCCGTCGAACGGGTGTACGTCGTTATCTCCCCTGCTCGGAGATGCACGTGTCTCATCTTTGGAACTCCAAGCTGGCTCATGTCCTTACGTGACCGCAGCGGTCAAAGCAGCCAGCCATTTCGGCAAGGCACAAGGTGACCACAGCGGTCAAAGCCAGTTTAAGGTTCATTGGAACCTGTGGAGAACCTAGCTCCCCTCTCCCCCTGCCCTCCCCTCCTTTCTCTCTTTACTTTCTGGGGTTTTCCTGAATGTAATACTCAGGATCTCCCCCTTTCCTTCTTTGGTGTGTCCCTGGACGATTGTTCGTAGCTGGGAACACATTCCCTTCCTCTCCCTTTCTCTCCCTCTCTCTTTCTTTCCTTCTCTCTTCACCCTCTTCCCTGGGTGTCCCTGGATGCCTCGTCAGCTGGGAGCCCTTCTTTTTGGTGTGTCCCTGGACGCCTGTGTCGTAGCTGGGAGCACCTTTGTCTCCTTCTTTCTTTCCCTCTCTTTTCTTCCTCCCCCTGCCCCCTCTTTCCTCGCGCGCGACGTGTTTACAAGCAAACTAGGCTTCTGCAACAGGTTTTTCTAATGAGGTTTGGTTTGTCATCGGCTTGTTCCCGTTCATTTGGTTCCCCTTTCATCGCCCCCACAGATGGTTTTTCCTCTTTTCTTTCATGTCTTTCTGTCTTCATGTCTCTTCATCCTCATTCTTTCTTTCTCTTGCGCGCACTATCGTCCGGACCTTAGTTTGTACACATACACGCACGCGTACTTTACTTACAGCGAGGTTCAGGTGGCCCAGGTTCGTTACAATGAGGTTTGGCTCATCGGTTGTCCCTCTTCACTTGGTTCTTTTTCATCGGCGACCACACACAACTTTGTCTGTCTTGTCCTTCTCATTTTCATCTGTCCCTTTTGCGTGCACATGTGCCTACCTCCTTTCCGGGCAGGATGGAGGTCACACATGCCTCCCTTCGGGGAGGCGTGTGTGTGTAACCCTTGGAATCATAGGGATCCTTTTGGATTTGCTCGGCTTGCTTTCTTACTTTCTAACTGTTGTTCCAGCAGGGGGGCTGGTTGTTCATGCAAGTACCAGCCCAACGAAGAGGCTTGCATTGAACACTGATATCGGTGGGGACGCTCACCGACGTACCTGCATTTTTCCTTTTCCGAATGGCATGAGGCTAAGCCTAGAACCTCACTTGCTGCAGACATGAGCGATCGTCGTCATTTCGACCTGTTCGTCGCCTTCGACCTTGCGCTTTTGGCCTCACTTCCTCTTCCAGACCCCCAGGCTCCGATGGTCCTTACTGGTACTCTGAGGAAATGGAACCCTAGGCCGGCGTGTGGCCCCGCTGTCAAGTCAGTACGCATATCCATGAGTGTGTTATTTGGCTGGTGGTCAGAAGTCCCAAACCATGACCACAGCAGTTATTCACATTCTTGCTTCCATCGATTGGTCCGGTGCACATTGCACAAGTCGCGGACAGACAAAGCTACTTGAAATGCAGTCGATTCATCCACTCCACACACAATTGCATACGATCACTGATGGTTCAACTTGAAAACCGTGGCAATGCTTCCAGATTCGCCCTAAATGCCAATCCGCTCTTCAATGGATGCGCTTGCTGTATGATTCATGGACGATTAGGAAGTAGGTGATGTGTCCATAAGAAACTAGAATGAGGTTCTAGGCGGGCAAATCATAACTTGTACGATTGACAGCCTTTGTTTCTTCGTGAACCTGCTCATGAGTCATGAGTCCCTTTTTCAGGTAACCTTGAGTGCTTCAGATGCCGCAAATCCCTTTGCTTCCGAACCGGTTGCTTGGATTGGAACCAGCACGCACTGTAGCGGGCCACATTGAAGCAAAGATTTTGGGGTGAATGTTCATGTACATGGAAGGCATCGGATGTTAATGATGTCAGTCACGTTATTGTTTACTTCTTGCCTTGTTGTGCATGCTCACTGGCAGCAGTTGCTTTTGTCTTGCAGCACGTATGACATAGCACCTTTGCGAAAGAAAGATGAACAACCAAACAACCGAACGAACTGTTCACTCAGAAACTACTCCTCATAGCCATCGATGGAGTAAAGACAAACATGTAGTTCAAATTTGATGATTCCAATGATGTTTACTATTTGCTGGATGCTCAACAAGCTTGTTTAGCCAAGCGCTTCAGCTCAGCTGACTGCATTTTGTGCAATCGGGGGAAGCACCAATGGATGCGCTTTACAACACTAGCTTGGCGTTTACAACACTATTTTCGTGTCTAAAGAGTGTGGGCCAGCTCTAACGACAACAGGAAAGACCTGGAGCTGCCCACAACTACTATCAACACAGTTGATCGGTGGGTTCTATTTTTGTGTGGACGATGCGATGTGGATATATTACCTTGCTGGGAGGTTTGTTGTGCGTGACTGTTTTGAGCCCAAAACAACACACGATAGGACACTTTTGCAACCCGTTGTGCCTTCACAGAGTATGCACTGTGTGAGTCTCACTGCTCAGTCGCTTGCTGTTGGAGCATCTCCTAGAGCAGGGAACTGAAGCTGAGTGACTAGTGAGAGAATCACATGCTGAATGACCAGTGGCCTGCAAGACTTCACAGCAACTACTCACAAACATACATTGTGAGGAGAAGGATGCCCTGACTTGAGCCTGCTGTCCAGGCGGATGCTTCAGGTGCTGCAATCCCTTTTTGGTGTGCCCCAGTTCCTTGGAAGGCACCAGTGCGGGTGGAGATGAACATCTCAATCTGAGAGCAGTTCATCGACAGGGGTTGTATGTTCGTTAGAAGAGACACTCACGTCTAATTGAGGAACCAGTTGCGACAGATGCTGCAAATCCCTTGGATTCAGCACCAGTGGCTTGGATGCAGTTGCGCTTCCGTATCCAAGTCACACTGAAACTTTGACATCGCGCAAAACAATGCAAAACAAACAAGTCTGCGTTTGTTCATGCCTACAAGTATTTTTTGATGCAAAGGGCTTTGTATGAATGAATACAACAGTTATCCTGTTGCTAATCAGTTCGCCCGCACTTAGTGAAACATGTCCTTTGCTCTGAAAGCTGCGTTCGAACTTGTTGAAGTTTGACAGCTTGGTTGGTCTTTGTTCAAACTCAGAGTATTTTGTTGTTGCCTTGCAAGGTCAATGTGGGGTGAGACCGGAAGTGGATTTTGATGCAAGGGAATGGTGTTTGTTGTTGAAGAACCATGCCTTTAGGGGTAAAAGCTACTTCAACATTTCATGGAAGAGCTGCTTTTTACTGGCCTGACTATATATTCCTTTTTGTCCAGGTGAATTTGAAAGCTTCAGATGATAAAAGGCACTGTGTAGATAGAAGCACCAAGTAAGCCATTGGCATCCATTGGCAATATTTGTTCGAGTTGCGACAAACAGTTAAACATTAATCATGCATAGAACACGGGGCGTCAACCGCTTAGAGGCAAATCACCTACACCTAGCCAGAGAAGGACGAAGAAAATGTCCACACAACGTCCAGCAAAACGTTGCATGTCATTCCTTCTCCAATGTGCCGTTTGCAACACGATTTGAATAACCCCCTTCTTTTTCGACATAGTGGCTGACCTGAGGACGCTTGACAAGTACCCCATGGCCACATTTTTTCGAAAGCCTGAAGTTGCACCAATCAAAGTCAATCAAGGGGTTCCAAGTCCGGAAGTTGCTACTAAGGGAAAGAGATCCCACACAACCGTTTGTTCCCGATTTGTTCCCCACAGTTCCGCTTCATTTTTTGGGGGGCACATTTTGGAACACCTAGTTTTGGGCATGTGGAACCATGAATTGCTGCCTTTGTCCAGGTGAATGTGAAAGCTGCTGCAAGTGATGCAAATCCCTTCGCATCCGCACCAGTTGCTTGGATTGCATGCGTCCCGGTTGGCTGAACATCTCGCGCAGACCAAATGCCGCTTTTAGGCGTCGGTAGCGCTTTGTGGGACACTGTATGTGTGCATAAATAAAGTAAGGATCAAAAGAAGGATCAAGAGGCAATCCCAACATGCGTAGTCCCTGCTGCACTGATTCTGAATTTGTGTTGCTTCACCAATACGTTGTTTATTGGCAGATGTGGGGATGCTTTGCTATGTTCATTTCATTGTTCTTTCACC